GTCAGATATTGGATCTGTCAATACCACGCAAATATTTGATGGCTGCATGCTATCTTTCTGCACAGCAAATAGTGCCTAAGCTATGTCTGGGTTCTGTTGCTCTTCCCAAGTTCCTGACTGGTCATTCATGGTGCCCATTAAATACAGAATTGTCACTGCTTAAAAGGTTTATCATAGGAGCTGCAATGCTTTAACTGCAGCTTGGTGTCTAGAGTCTGATTATTCAGTGAACAGACATGTTCTCATTGGTTGGCAAGATAATCTATTGGCATATGTATGCTGCTGACCCAGGTGGTGGTGTACAACAAAGTTGTAGTACTTCAGCATTGTTATCCAATGTAAAATCATACCTTCGAGTCGAAGATCATTATCCATTTCAGTGATGCGATGTTCTCTCCTTCCCATTCAAGAAGTGAGGGTACCGTTTGACAAACTACAACTCCAAACAGTATTAGTGCCCAGTATGAAATTCAAGTATGCACTCACATGCTCTGTAATATTTACTTGTAATAAAACTGTGCCACCTGTATCCAGAATGAATGGAAAATCTCCAGAAGAATAAACCAACATGTGCTCCAACTAAGGTACGCTTCAAGTACCGAGTGCAACCTCACATGCTCATTTCCTAAGAAAGTGCACATTAAGCTTAGCACAAACAATGGTGTGGCTGTTGTTTAGAAATTGGCCAAAAATTATTGATAATATGATACAAAAACCAAGGAGGCTGCAGACTTACTGTTTCTTATATGGTAGAGATCAATCCATGATTGCTGCAATCTTCCTAAGATCAGTAGACACTTCATCTCTATCTGCTTTGTGGCTGAGAAGCTGCACTTTTGCACAAATAGTGCATGCTTACTCACAACTTGAATTGTGCAACTAAAAACAAATATATTAGTCTCATAGACAGGCATCTTTCCTAATGCAGTCTTTTAAGTGTAAGCTCCATTATCCTATCAAAAGTGGCATGAAATTCACAGGCTTTTTTGATCGCCAAAAGCAGTCAGCCTTCCAGCTAGACTTGCTAATGTGCAGAAGTCACAACTAGTGTTTCCAATGCATCCAAGTATCTATGCATGATAAAATAAATGCATTGACTTGCATTACCATGTTTGCCATCTGAATAAACTTGTTCCTTCCTTATTTTCTTGTTTTTGACAATCACCACTAGAGATGACTATGCACTCTACAAAGGTATTATTATTATTCCATATTTAATTATCTACTCTGTCAAAACTAATATCCCTAGTGCTCCAAGGAAGCCTGCACAGTAGTTCTTTTATTAGATGCATGTCACTTGTGTATGTGATAATGTATGACCATCTGTTCCAATTAACATATTAATATATCACCACCACATCTAGTCACCAGTTTTGAACTTTTCTTCCTTCAACTACTGTTTTGTAGTCCTACCACTTTCCCCATATGCTGCCACAAGAGTTCATGCACAATATAGTCATTCTACATATTTTTTGTGGACACAAGTATTTCTGTAATGGGTGGAGAGTCATACATCAGATCTGTGAGGTGCTGTACTTTTTGTACAAACATCGAAGGATTTAAACAGTCAGCTGTTGCTCAGTATGCTATTATGACATGTGGTAGATGCTTATCCCAATCAGTGTGGTCAGGGTTAACGAATGTAAAAAAGCATATGCTTAATAGTCTGCATTGTCCTTTCAGCCAAACCATTAGACTGAGAATGATATATTGAACTCAGTTTCATTATTGCATACAACAGGTTGCTGAAGATAGCTTCTCTAGACACACCAAACCATGAAATACATTGTTTTGTCAAAATATGTGAACAGCAGGGCTAACATGTCGGCCAGTGGAAATAAGCTTCAGTCCATCTGCTCAAGTAATCAGTAACAACTACCTTTTACAGTATTGGGCACACACCCAGTTATATCCAAAGGAATTCTCTGCAGAGGGATATCTACCACTTGTCATTTCCATGGCCAGTTTTTCCTCTGGGTAGCATACTGAGTAGTGTCTATAGCATTGCTTAATATTTTTATGTGAATGCTGCCAAAAAAAAAAACACTTCTACACATTGGCAACAGTTTGTGAAACTCCCTAGCAACCCCATTCTCAGGTTCTCTACTTTGGTTTTAAATGTGTTACCAAAGGCAAAAACATCATTCACATAGATGAGACATCTCTCTCACTGCAGTCCTTTTGGTGAATTCCATCAACCACTCAATGAGTTGTAGGGGCATTACACACAGATTGACTGGCAAGATGTATAATTTATACAGGCTTTGGTCTACTTCCATTGTCAGTTTTACCTGCCACTATCAAGAAGTTGTGTCGAGTGTATAGAACCAATGAGCACCTTCCAATACATCTAGACGTTCATCTATGATTTATAAAGTTCATTACCAAATTCACCTGTTTGAAGACCACAACAAATCTTGGTATTCTTTCCTCCCTTTTCAACAACTGCCACTGGAGACAACCATGCACTTTCCAAATATTTTATTACTATATCCTTCTACATCCACTGAATATCAGTGCTGGCCATATCCCTTGTGCTCCAAGGAAGCTTACATGATGTTGGTTGTATCAAATGCACACCACCTTTATTTTGTGTGATGATGTGTAACACCATTGGTCTCATGATCACATCAAACTTTTGAGCATTCAGTAAGTTCATGACTAAGTTTTATGTTTAGATTGTTTGGACAGTCCTCAAGCAGACTTAAGTGTACTGGAAGCTGTGGATTTATTTTCTGAAAATGGAACAGTGGCTGTGACACCAGTAGTACAGCTAGTCTGCATTACTTCTGCCTTTGTTACCATTCCAACTGGAAGCTGAATAACCAAATGTTCTAGTTACACTGGTACAACACCCATGTATAGACAGATCAGTGTTCAAGCTCGTGGAACCTGCCTTCCATACAGAAAACAGTGTGCTTCATGCATTTGAATTATGCCAACGGTACAAGGAGACAATGTAGACTGTGTCTGTAGTACACCGTAGAATACTGCTTTCACATTACAGTAAACTACACAGTCCATTTTACTACAGCATTGGATAGTTTTGTTACAGAACAACAGTTCAACTATTGCACAAGCAAAACTGTCTGAGTACACAATAGGTCCATCCCTAAAAATACAAGTGCCTGAACCCAGATCTGGGATAATGATCTTAACTCAACATGTTTTGAAGAAAGTTGGCTACGTGACTCTCCACTCATGTTTAGCTTGTCGCCAATTGCCAGAATAAAGTTTATGCTAAATAATTGAATTGGTGGCTTAGCATAGAGCACTTGATACACAGCAAGATTGAATAAAGTTCTGATTACTCCTGCATCCACCAAGAACACAACCTCATTGAGTATCATTATTAGCACATACCATGTAACACAAAGTTTATGGTTCTCTGGACCAGTCACTGAGACTTTAGACACAAGCTCGCCACTGCACTCACCCTGTACTAGTTTAAGCCCTTCCTGCATCTGTTAAGCATTGACTTGAATAATGCATGCATCCAATGGTTCTGTATAACAAATAGGATATTAAAATTCCTGAAACTTGTAGAAGACGTGCCACTGTTAAAGCATGTGCTTCTTCCTTCATGCCCATGGAACTTTTGGATGTATAACTCCAGTTGCAGTGTAGTAATGGTGCCTGTTACACCATGCTGCAATGGAATGAAAAGTCAATTTGTCTTTGGTACTTGCCTTTACAGGCTCTGGAGACTGTTTCACAGCAGGGTTTGCAGATGCTTGGATTCTTTTTTTTTTCCTCCAGTGTGTAGTTTGATATCATCACTTGAAACCATGTCATCACAGACAATGCCTCACTAAGAGTTGAGATGTCCCTCAGTCCCATGTGATACCACATGGGTTTGCCTGCTAACTCATCAATAAGCCTGTTGAGGAACACCTTATCATAATATTAAGGAAACATAGCAGGAAATGACTGTATGTAATAATCTGTATAAAAGGCCAATTTCTCTTAGGTTCCTTGCTTCAAGCTTTTAACCAGACCCTATAGATTGCTCAATTCCCCACATGATCTAACCTGCAGCACAACTCATTACTGTGTGTCTGTCATTGAGTAGCACCTTGTACAAATATTAGGGCATTTAATATTCAAGCACCTAAACTCAGAATTAGGAATTATATCACATGTCCTTGGGTCTATTCATTCCAAGCAACATCTTGCTTGAAGGGTTTCATGAAACAAAAGGTCCAAATGCTTTAATGTCACATCCCATAATGCCCTAAATTGATGAAAGTAGTCTTGAATCTAAAGGTCTGGTGATATACAAGTCCTCAAGAATGTGATGTCCTTGAGTTGAGGTCATAGTGGGAGTCATGTGGTTAAGCACACTATTCTTCTCAATGTGATGTCAATATGTTTGCTGGACTCTGGATCATGTCTCTTGCTCTGCCTGACAGCATTGCAGTGAAATGCACTGTACTTGTTTCAATTTTAATAATATGTAGGTTCTGCTAAGAAAGAATTTTGTATTCTTTAAGCCCAGAGCAAAGAAATTTAACATAGACGTAAACCTAACAGAACACTAAGATCACTATTCGTACAGACATCAAAATGAGAAACAATGGAATATTATCTGCCAGATCTTGTTTGTTTTCAGGTAAATATTATACTAGAACACAAACATATAAATTAAGATCTATGGGCACAGACAAGTTTTGCAAAGCTAGAAAAATTTAAGTCTACATACACTCAATGGATTGGAGATCAACTCTGTGGCCACCAATGGCACATCAGAACATAAAGAAACAGATTGCCGAGGAAGTTGGTGTCCATTATTAACCCATCAAAATATTAAGTTTCATACTTTTATTTAGACAAGAGTTGAACTATACAATTATTTCTTAATCACTTCCTATTAAACATTTTACATACACTACATATTTAGTTTTTTTAACTGGAACCAGTATATACAAAATACTAATGAATTATTTGGTTCTACAATACTCTATAAATTTGTAATGATTTCAACACTTTATTTTCTGTAGGCCCAAGAATGGAATCATGCCAAAGCTTTAGGTAAACACGATGCTAGAAGAGTTGAGGTAATGAAGAACCGAAAGAAAGAACTTCATCATACTACTATGGAGGAACACTTGCTGCGTTTAAATGTCTCTAGAACATGGGAGTGAAATATGTACTGTATATAGAATGGATGTTATTTATAAATAAATGTCCACAATTCATTAGAAAAGTTCACACTGAAAGATAAGTTGTCTTTATTATGAATTTCATTGTTTTTATGGAATTAACATTATAAAAGTTTTAAGTGTCCAGTAATCTTGTCCACCAGCTCCTCAGGACCTGCAAATGTAGAAAAATGAAATATATAAATACTCAAAGCTGACCAGACTTCTTTTTTCTTCTTTGGATGTACATAAAACTTTTGTAATATATGTTTCTAGAACAGAACAGGTACGATGAAAGGATCTGTTTCTGTTTTTCAGTATGGTAATGCCAACACCCAGTTCTTTTGAATGGGAACTGCTAAACAAGCTTGAATTGTTTTCATATCCAGTCAGGTTTCAAGAACTCATTTTTAGTAGTAAGCTTAGCTGGTCAACACTTATTAACATCAATTTATATCATTGCCAGATTTATATAAGATGGCTAGCAAACATTTTGCTCTCAAATTATAGTAACAACTTGAATTCCTAATGACCTTGGCTGATGGCGCTTAGATACAATAACTGAAAGGCATTTGTGCATTGCAACCCCCCCCCCACCTTTCTGTAAAGTTATATATATATATATACCAATATTTACTAAGTTTTTTAGTAAACATTGCAAATGTGTTGTGCACAAAAACGTCAGAATTTTTAATAAAGATTTGTCTGTGAATTTACAGCCTGATTTAGGCTCTGAGTGCAAGGTAATTTTGATTTTAAAATATTCTTTAATTTACATAACCTTTAGAACCTCCTAACCGTATATTTCATTTCTCATAATCTGTAGTAAAACATGAAATAAAATTAAAAGTACAATTTCTTTTTAAAGAATGGCTACAAATTGTAACACAGTTATTTATCTTAAACAGCCTCAGGCTATAAACAATTTAAATCTTTTTTTAAATTTTATTGGTCTTTGAACCATGTCTAATTTGAGTAACAATGTAATAAATCACTTGGTGAGAGCTCACTGCAAGCTACAGTAAACAAAGTATTGAATTTCATCATGGAAGAGAGCTTGTATGCATTCCTCCTGGAGAAATTTCTTTAAGTTTCTTATTTTTACATTACAGTTACTTTTATAACAATAAATAAAAAATATACATAGAAAAATTGAATATGTGTGGCTAGACACTACCCCTTACCCACCCCCAATAGGTATGTCAGAATGTGACTGAAAGTGTGTGGTATGTGGGTCTCACTTTCTTTTTTATATCTTAGTAAAGCAAGAAACTTGGAGGCTATAAGTTTACACTATGGCTTAATAATAGCTATAGTGTGTAAAAAACATATATGGGTAGAAAGAAAATCTAAAATGGGAAATTCAAAGTGAAAAACTATCAAGTAACATAGAAAAGTAAAGAATGAGAGTTTATTTATATATTTTCTTTTTCAGATTAAGAAATTAAAACATATATAATATTAAAATTTGAAATATAAACTGTTTTGATACCAAGCTTATCGACTTACGTTGATAGTGCACATTGATCCCCCTTCCATACACGTAGAAAGAATATACTGCTGCTTTTTTGTTTAAAGAGTGATGTTAGTATTCATCTCAACCACTCAGAAGTAATTTAAAAAGTTTTTGTCATGTTGCACGTATAGTAGTTCAGTTTGAATGTAAGGATCAGTATTATGGATAAAATGTCTGAATTTAACAATAAAAGTTGTATTTTGGGGGTTTCAAGAACCATTACATCTCATGAGAATTTTGGTTTGTCACCATTGAGCAAGAAAGAAGACACATTTTGAAATTAATATTACTATTCATTTATGTCAAAGATATATATAGAACATTTACTTAAATCCTAGAAATAATTTGAAGTTTCATAACAAAATATAATTATTTTTTAATCTCAGTGCTCTTTACAGTTTCATTGCTCTAGGCATTATTGAAAAAGTTTAACTCAAAATTAAAAGAAAATACTTAGTTCATTACACTCAAGCAATCTGAAACTGACTTGAAGACAAAAAATTTGTATTTTTAGCTACAAAGCATAGCATGAAAAAGGAAACAAATTCAGATATAATGACAATGCTTGGCCTTTTTTGAAATTTAAATAAGCACGTGCTAGTCATTACATGTAAGCAAAAAAAAGGAATTCAAGTGGTGATTTAGGCCTGTCACAATTGAAATAACTGTTAATTTCCCTCTTCCATAACTAGTTCATTTGCAGTGCAGATACTTATAACTACAACTTCTTTCTTCCTTTCACTCTGTGGTAAATTGTGGTCATGGCAAACCAATTTACAATATCATGTAGGATTTACAATTAAAAGGAGGAAGCTGTGGTTCAAGTGAGGATTTGATATGAGCAAAGACTATCAGAACCACTTTCTTAAAGTTTTTGCTGGCAAGTGAGAGCTATGTCTGTATTCTCACTTCATCCTTAGGATCATGAGGTTGCTTGGCAATCCTGGGCATCCCAGAGATCCTAACAAGATCTCTACTGGTGTGGAGCATAGGGCAACAGATAAGATTCTTTGTGAGGTTGAGTAGCCTGAACATCCCAAGCTTTACTGTGGTGGTCTCAGTGGGCAATCACTGACAAATTCATGCATCACAGGATCTGGATGGCTACCACTGATCAAGAAGATTGACAAAACACATGCTGGACAAAGTGTAACACCTGGAATCTTGCTACGATTCAATGGAATTTGAAATTAATCAAGAACAAGCTTGAGTCAGAAGGCATACTGACAACACTCAAAAACTATTTGATGACCAAGGACAATGTGGAATATAATGACAAAATGTTTAACAACACATTACATCCATGCATAAAGGCATCTTTTGAACTTCTAGTTCATACTTCAACAGAGTAGCTGGCAGCACGTAGCCATCTGAACTACTATTTCACTATGGAGGTGATGTAAAGCAAGTAAACTAACCAATGTCTAAAGGGATGGCTAAGGATGATTTGGTCTATTTCCTCAAGTGTTTCAGGGAAATTGTTTCATGGAATGAATGAACTCAGGAACAAGCAGTGCAATGGTTGATTCTAGTCAATCCCATGCTTGACACTATGGAGCTCTTGGATACAGTTTTCAATGAGTTGTGCCACATATTGGATTTTGTGGAGAAGAGAGCAATCCATATGGCCAAGTTTATAGATTGAAAATGAGGACCCCATTAAAACTTACTGTTTACACATATAACTTCAAATATTACTGCCACTTCTTGTATGCTAGAGAGTTCACCAAGTGGACCATGCATCACTGAAATGGCTAATGAACTTCAAATATCTAAAAAGTACTATTGCACATTGAATAATAATGCTGAAAAAGAGTTCAACTTCATTGTACAACACCATTTGGCTCAGCAGCACAGAAATTTGGTGTATTATCTAACCAATCTGTAAGATCTTGTCTGTTAATTGAATGTTCGAATCCTGGGAACAATGCACCAGTGAAAGCCATTGCAGCAGCAGTGATGACAACTATACAAATAGTGACAAATGTGCATCTGGATAGACACCACAAATTATTATTCAGGATTTTCCAGAGAAGCAATTTAAGGATGCAGCAAGGTAAAGAGCAACCATTACATTCCTACTATCTAGCACTTATAGATAATTACCTTTTCAGGATAGTACGTTGAAACATCACAGACTGGCTTTCATAGGTAGCCCAACTGTGATGAAGCTAGTAAACCTCAGAGTTCTAAAGCAGGAAATACTTCTGACTTTGTATTAATACAAAGACTGGTAGGCTCCAGCAAGCGACATACACTGTTGTAAATGTGCAAAACCAGTTTTGCTGACCATATTTGTATAAAGACAAGGTGATGGTGGAGATACTGTACCATGAGCACTGTCCATAGGAAACACCAACTGCATCAGAGAAGACTGTAACAGAGATATAGCTGGTTCTCTTCCCAATACAAGGAGAGGTAATTGGTATGTGCTGGTTGTTTATCAATTACTTCTCAGAATGGGCTGAAGATTATCCTTTTGTTAACACATTATCACAGTTTGTCATAGGTGTGTTGGCTGAACAATGAACTCATCCTTTGGACAGATCTAAATGGATCAAAGACTTAACTTCAATAGCTAGTTGTACCAACTGTGAGACGTGGTGAAAACACAAACTCCACCATATCAACTTCAGTCTGATGGTTTGGCTGAATGGATGGTACAAACTCACAAACATATGCTAGCTAAATTTATTATCATGACCAAACTGATTGGTATGAGCAACTCCACTCCAAATCTCCCGATGTTTGGATGAGAAATATGGTTTCCAGTGTATATAGTATATGGCCTTTCACAGGAATATATGGAATGGATTTATTCTGCAATATTTGATACACATGAATTTGTGGATTCACCTGCCCAGAGGGACAATTTTAGATATACTGCAGATAAAGATACATTTCCATTAAAATTCTGCAGACATAGATAGATCACATACCTCCCAGTCAAGGCAGTAAGTGTCAATGCAAATAAGAAGAAATATAGTGAATCACGATTATTACAGATGATCCAAAGTGCTGTGTACTTGACCCACTGACAGAAGCTAAATTATCATTCTATGAATCAGTGGCTAAATTACTCTTTCTATACCTTTTAAATTAGTATGTTCACAAAATTTGGCACATTAGCAGTAAACATTACAATGCTTTCATATGCAAAATATCAAATTTTTTGATTAAGTCTTAAGCAATGTTTTTCACTTGTCTTTTTCTTTTCATTTCGCATGTTGCCTATCTATCATGCAAAGTAATATTCACTTTAAGATTAAAAATACTTTTATGCATCAGAAAATTTTGAAATTTCACAGGCAAAATCGTTATAATGTCCAGATAGTTATCAAACGTTTCTTAAGAAAAAACTTTATATTTTTATGTTATTTTCAGTAATTAATCTCTGTATAGGTTTGGGAAATTTTACCATTCTCGTAACCACCATAAAAATTAGGAAATAAATATAAATTATGCCTCTTTCATTCTAGAATAAACACAGATTATAAAACGAAAACATGAATGTTTAGACTAAATTCTTAAATCTCATAACATTATACATATTATATATTTATTATTTTTATCATATTGACCTTTCAGCCATGCCTGGCTAACAACACAGAAGTTACAATGATGCGGCTCATGTGAACTCATGTTATTTTATCAAATAACATAAAACTGACCTTTGGTCTGTACAAAGTAACTTGTCTTGGCTGTGTTTTAGTAGACTATTATTTTGTAAAATGCAGTCACATTTCAATTATTCTACATTATATATGTATATAGATTATTACTATTTTGAAATAAGTTTTTAAACTGAGTTTTCTTAAAACATAGAACAGTAAATAAAGAAGTAATTATCTCTTCTAGTTATGATCTTTGTACTTGGTTGCTAAGCATTTAAAAAAATTTGCACATGGAGGATATGAAACTATATTTTTTTAGGTTTTATATATAAATTTAAATAACTAAAAAATCATAAATTACTACATTAATATCAAAGAATTCCACTATAATTTATCAACTTTAGTAACTAAAATGTATTTTAGTCTAAAATAATATGAAATTTCGAGCAGACTAAAGACACACCGTATCTTGTTAAAATATTGGTTCAAAAGAAAGAAATGGTGTCAAGACCATTAAAATGGCTGAGAAAGCCATTAGGGGGACATTCTGAGCTTCCAATTGGTTATTCATGTCGTGACATGGCCTTTCACCCGTGACCTATCTCGAAACAGTTAAACAACACCTTTCCTTATTTTATTCCAAAGTTATAAACCATTAATGGCATTCACATGTAGCCACTTGAAAGAGATGGTTACTGCTCTTCTGAAGAGATTCATAAAAGCCAAAGTTATTAGTGCTGCAACTACAACTGTCGTGTTGGTGAAAATACATGTAGAAACAGCAAAATGTTGTGGAAAATAGAAAGATCAAAGTTGGCTTTGAAGCACATACACACCTAAAAGTTTTCTGAGAAAGAGAATCCAAAAAGTATACTTAGTCTTTTCTTGCCAAGAATGCTAGCAAACTCGTGGAAAAACAAAACAAAAACACCCATTATGTATAACAAAGTAAAATATGTTGATACAACACTGAAATACTTGGCTTAGCAAAGATTGGTTGTAGAGATATCACTTATAAAAAAAAAAGAGAAGATAGAAGAAACCAGGAAAGCTAAAAACTGTATACCCAATGTCATGAAGATTGAGGTGTTTCAGAGAGAAAAAAAAGCAGAAGACAGTATAGTGAAGCTGATGCCCCTACTAAGTTTGTGTGAAAGGTCATGGAATATGTGTAAATATGGTCAGGAAATTTTATTTCTTTCAAGTTGTATGAACTCTGTGGTGTTACTGAAGAAATCTACATAGTGTTGATGAATGAAATATTCACAGATTATGTTACTAAGTCTTTATGAAGTGAAATTACAATTACTTGTTTATTAAGAATGAAAAACATAATATACCTATTATTTTTTGAATGTTTTATCTCAATATGAACTTCTGAACCATGTAGCCATTATCCACAAATTTTATGTTAACTACATAAAATTTTGGTAATTGTGGTTTTGCTTATTTATTTGAATTACATATAACCTGTGTCATAAAGCAAGTTGATGTTAGAAATGTGTGAATCCTTGGGTTAACAGCAGTTTCAGTCATCAATCACAAACATAGGAAAAAAGTCTTTTGTCTTCACCCCTTTCCCCAGTGAACCAATGTTCTGCTAACATGACTTGACATTGGTGGGAGACATTATTTTCCTGATATGTCAGCTGGCCAGAAAATGTATTTGTGAAAGATACTCACCTCCTATGAGATGTGAATGCCACTAGCCTTGAGCTACCTCCCACCTAAAAACATGTTTAATGTGAACTGTGCTAGTGCATGATACCATCATTATGCAATATTAACCCTCTACCAATAGGAAGGCAACACAGCCTCCTTGCAAAGTAGCTCCCCCAAAGCACTTGCACTTAAATTAACCCCATTCTTAAATGAGGTAATACAAAATTGCACCGGAAGTGGGAAGGTGTGTAGAGATGAGTATCCATCAGAAATACACTTTCAGGTAAGGAAAATGTTAACATCCAAGTTGATATCTCGCCAGTGCAAATTGCAAACATTAAACCTAGATGAGTTTTTCAGAAAGCATTCAAAGGAAAAGCCCATGGAGTGTGATATCTGATGGCAGGGGCTCCATACAGGCACAGCCATGGGAGTTCACATCTCGACTTGACCAGGGTGTACTCTATGCCCAGAAGGAAAGAGAATGAAAAGCAAAAGAGCTCCAAGTGTTATAGGGATAGGCAAAATATTTGAATGAGCACTAGCACAGTATCAGATAGCAAGCCAAGAAGTGTGTAGTTGGGGTGCAATCAGACCATATAGTGTGTATCTGACTTCGACTTAACTGGACACAGAGATACGGTTAAAAACCATCCTCCTGTAGGAGGAGGACACACTAGCTGTTAGAAGAGTGACCTGCACAGACAGTGCCACCACTGCCCTACTTACCACTGTATTGTGCTGTACACAATCAGTGAAGAACTCTCCAAGGTCCACCACCCCAGCAGCTAGGAACTGTTGTGGCAAGGATTTCCCAAGCTCGACTTGAAGAAAAGGGGAGAATTTGCAAAGGGGAGATTTGGGTAAGTGCCTGGATCCTCACTGGATGTCTGAGAAAGGTGTTATCCCTATCCTGATGTGGAGTTTGGGGAATAAGCATACTCTGGGAAGTAACACCAGCCAGCTGGCAGGATCCTAGAAGTGGGAAGAAGGTGAGATGAGGTTAATGTAAAAGAAAATTTACTTACCCTTCTCAAAGATGGTGTGTAATTTTACTGAATAACTGTGACTGGAGGGAGTCAAAATCCCATATGAGACAAAATAACCAGACACACGTTTGTGGATTCATCCACATGCAAACCTGAAGACAAGAGTGAGACAGTTGATAAATTTGATGTGAAGAAATGTGAAAGAATGAGTAGCCAGTCTTAGGAAGAAAGGCCACGTTTGGGTAGAGGAGGAAGTGTAGTGAAAGAGTGTGTGGGAACCATCAATGGCATGTATATCCAAACAACAGCAACTAGAAGCGAGGAGGAAATATGTCTTCAGAGAAAGATAGTAAAAAAACAAATTCAACGTTCCAGTCAGGCTTGGGAGTAAGAGAAAGGGGTCAGTGAGGTAGGAAACATCAGAAAAGAATGGAGATGACAAAAAATGAAAAAAACCATCCCGCAATAGTGGAAACTGACACTCCATGGTCAAACAACCATATGACCAAGGCCAAAAGGTGGGGCACAGCAGAACAGCCCAAGAGTGCCAGAGGGACTAACACTGAAAAACCCACCACTGCCATTGATAGATGCACAGAGTTGAAGGACAACAGGAATAGAATAAGAAAAAGGCTACATGATTAACGAGTCCAGCCCTACAGGTAATGGACCAGACAAGTTCCACACACGAAGATAAAGAAATAACCCCCCATGTAATAGAAAGATGTGTGATTGGAGTAAGAAAGTGCTGAAATGAGGCAGAGGAAGAGAAGACCAAGACACCACTTGATGAAACAGAAGAAACAAGGGTTGTGCCAGCCAAAGAGGCTGAAGATATAAGGAGCAGACAGAATGCCAAAAGGAAGAGCACAGAACTGGAAGACTCTATCCCAATGGATGAAATAAAGAAAACGTCTGGAGGAAGGGTCAATTAGAATGTGTAAAAATGCATCTGATATATGCATGCACTAGTAGCTAGTGGCATGCAAATCTCATAGGCAGATGTACATAGGAATCAAGCTATTCTGTGAGTAGAGGTGAGGTATAGTCTCAGAAGAATTGCTGCAGCTATAGCATAGGCCCTTCTGTAACTCCCATAGAATATATCTTTATTTAGTTATATTCAGGTAGTTTGTTTCTAAGTCTCCATGCAGGTATCCTGCATATAGGTGGCACTTTCTCTGTAAACTGGATGTATGAAGGTTGTAAACATACATTAATCCTCTTGCAACATAACCAAAGATAGAAGAAAACATTTTATCCAACTGCATGGAAGAACTAGTGATGTCTACTGGTTCAAATCCCAACTGGATACAAAAAATTTAATTATGTCTGAGAATATTCTATCTTAGAAGGGATCCACCTAAGTGCTTTGATGGTCCATATTAAAAGCTTCTAACAACCTACCTCAGGCATTGGGTCAAACTTTCCTACACCTTTTACAATAAAATATTTTAGATAAAGTACTATCTATCATTAAGTACCCTGAATCAATAAATTTCATTGATCAAAAGTCTGAGATACTTCAACATAGTGAGAGGCAACTTTTGAAGTAGCAGTTATCTTAGTCAACTTCAAACTCACAAAAATCCGAATTCATAACTAAAATAACTAGTAACTCAGAAAAAAAGGATCATCAAATTAAATGTATCAGTAAAACAAACACTCACTGAAATCTATATAACTACATTGCAGATATATATATGGTATGGCCAGTGCTTCCTCTGAACAAAAGGATAATTAAAATGCATTCCGATATTCTGGGCTTAATTTTAACCTTTACTGTAAATTACCAAGGAAAGTTTAGCATAGTTTCTAGCCGTTTTTGGTGTAAAGCATGCAGTCATTAATGATCTTGCAACTGATTCACTACAAACCAACAGGCTCATTACACTTAGGATGTGACTCACTGTGTCATAAAATTGTTCAATACACTGCTCCTGTGTCAGTTTTGCACACTGAAAAGGATGTGAAGCTTTAATGAGAAATTCAGGATTCAGCCCTAAATGTTGTTTTAAGACCAAATCAAAACAGGTAGCAAGTTTCAATATTCTAATGATGATTTTCTAACTTCAGTGATCATAGTCATCATTATAGCATACATTGTGCATTTGTAATTTTGATGAACCCCTTATGAATTAAATCACTGAAGAATTCCCTGCACAGGGTGGATGTGCTGGTATTCAGCTCTGAAGTCTAAGAGATTAATTTAATTAAGCTGTGAAGTTTGTTTTCACAGTTCAAATGGACTGAGAAGTGATAATTTTTGAAAAAGAGTCAATATTTCTTATAAGAACATTTAGTAGTATTATATTTCTTCAACCCTTGGTGGATTTCAGTGATATGCAGAAATTTTCAACCCATACTGCCAACACTACATTCAATAATAATCCTTTCCAGATCTCTACTAGCATCTTGACTCATATTAAGTGTCTGTGATAGCTCCTAACTTTGGTAAACTCTAAACTTCAGACAGAAATCATATATAAAATCAGTGTAATATAGTATGTTACACACATATATAATAATAAATATCAAATTAGTTATTAAAATTCACAACTTTCTGAATAATGTGAAAATGAATGTAAGATGCAAATTCAAAAATATATATTTTAAAAAGGATGCACCTACCAGGACCGATGCCAAGGACTGTTCTACTTCCAGCAGCTATTTGGGTTCGTCCAGCATCACAAACAATACTTGTCAGTAGCCCCACTTTACGTGCATGGTGTGCAAGCTCCATCCTTCACAGGAAAAAATATAGACCTCAATCTCACACTCAATCATCTAATACTACTATTTCTCCACTGTACTTATAGTAATATCAAACTTAAAACCTGTCTTCTTTTTGTAATTAACTTCACTATAGACATATACACACACACACATACATACGCATATATAAAATAAGCATTAAAAAGATTCTGATAAGAGTTTCCATTGTCAGTCCTAATTGTCACCATAAAGTCATAGTGCATTTGGGAGCTATTACCACAGGCATTATCCACTATGACTCTAAGGTGACAACTGGGAGTGAGAATAGAAACTCTTATCAAAATCTTTTTAATTCTTATTTTGTATTAAGTTCATTATTGTTTCATAGTAGTGATTTTAATCACCTATTGATGATTAAGGTAATTAATGGTATTGAAGCTATTTATTCCATTATATATATCGCCACACACATATTATCTGATGGTCCATCTAGACTTTCCCATCCACTAAACTTCTTTTTAGTGAAAATATAACTCTCAAAGCCAGCCTTATTATTTAAATATTTATCAAGCCTTCACTTAAGCTCCCTTGAATGAACTGCATCTACCACATCTGAAGGCAACCCATTCCAAAGGTTAGCTACCCTGTTAAAAAAGTAAAGCTGTCTTAGCTTAAGATTACCCCTACCCTGCCAAAATTAGTGTCCCCTAGTCTTACCATTATCACCATTAAGTACAAAAAAAAAGATAATACATCAACACCATCAAATCCCTTAACAATCTTACATATCACAATCAGATCCCCTCTAACTCCTGTTTTTTCAAAAGAAAATTTCGTAATCTTAACTTGGGCCTCGACAAATAACAGGCCCCAGGTCACCATGGCTACAAAAATTTCATCATGGCACCTAGTATTTTCTCCCATTTTATTCGTGCATAGGCTGTGCTAAATAGAACTTGAATCTATAATAGTTCTGGACTCTTGGAAGTCCAGAACTATTTTCACGTTCTTAGAGTCCTAAATCAAACTTTGTTTCTAGGATTCAACAACTCTTCATGTTTTATTCAGAAATGAAGCACTGCAGTTGCACAACACATTAGTAATTTCATGCCATTTTTTCTTCTTTTTCTCTATTCAACCAATCAGTGTGTGTGTGTGTGTGTGTGTAGACTCAGATGGGACCAAAGGCAGCTAGTTCAGGCAAAATTATCAAGTGGTTGTTGATATCCTGTGATATTAGCATGCACTCACTGCTGTGAAAGTAAATAAATATACACTGGTATCTCGATTATCTATGCTGGTCCGGGGAAAGCAAAAATCACGGATAATAGAAACTGGATAATCGAGGCACTAATGTATCTCACTAGTTAGCTCACTGTTTAATCTAAATAAAATTTTTCCATATATTTAAGTTCCTTGTTTTAAATTATAATATTTCTACTGTCGCTTATTCAATTATCATGAAAAATTATAAACGTCGTCAGTCATCATAATAAAAACCAAGTGTCAGTTGGTAAGTCGGTCACGCTCGATTTCTATGAATTTTGTGAGTTACACGAGTCCAATTCCACTTTTTCTCCTATAGTACTTCCTCTTTTGATTGCCCATTCCTGTTTTAGTTGAATTTAATTGCTAACATAGGTGTAAATAGTTCATAAATATTGACACTTTTTTCTGCTATAGACAAAGAAGTGCATTCACACCCTATCAATGCCTGTAAAAAATAAGTCAAAATTAATGTAAGTCTATGCTTGGGAATTATTACAAAAAAGACTTTGATAAAACAGACTGAAGATACCAATTATCTGTAGGTAACAGGATAATGTATAACTGGGCAACACCCCAACACAACCTGAACATGCATCTGTGGTTAAAGAATGCCTAATGTGTAGTACAGAACAGAAGATGACAACTGAAGTTGAGTGAAATCCTTAAGAAATCTTGATTTGTATTTAGTGTGTTTTTGTATACTATGTTTTTAATCACTAATCAAATAAAGTGAACCAAGCTACAAATATTTTGTATTCCTGCCTTAGCTAAAAATAAAACAGGCTAGGCTTGAACCGGCTGACTTACAATTTGAATGCACACCAGATCCTGCGAGCGAACACCCCAGATATCATGCAACACCTGAACTTTTCCAACCAAAATAAATTTCTAAGCAACAATTTCTCTAAAACATGTAAATTATTGTCTGGAATTGTAATGGCACAATTATTTTGAGAAAATATGGGGAAAGGAAAAAACTGCAAATAATCAAGGATCGCGGATAATGGAGGTGCAGATAATCAAGGCACAAACAGTAGTGAAGTTAGGTTAGACACTCCTGGCTCCTAGATCTGAAAATATTTGTCGAAGCCTGTCTTAACCTGTCCTCACATGACAATCTTTTCATCCTATAAGCCTTTCTCTAAACCATTTCTAACAATTCAAATCTACTCAGGTTGACTACAGACTCCATTCCAGAACCCCAAATTTCAAGGAGCAGGTCTATTCGTTTAGAGTCTGAATATGTGTCCAACTGGCGTTGGTAAGCTAAATCACGTAGTTTCGACAAATGTGGCAGACAAGGCATAGCTATCCCTTCATGTAACTGAAAAGTAAACCATCCTGCATGAACCGCAATAGCAATGGATGGAGGTAGAATGAAATATCTGCTCTCAGACCTTTCAGTCATCAAGGAAGGTGCAGGCTCAAAAGTAACCAGGGAAAGTCCTAAAACATCACACACTTGATGGATCAAATGAAGAGAAGGAACTGGAAGCAGCTGATCCCAAAGTGGCCTCCTGAGAAGTTAACAGAATAAAGGAAGGCACGGGAAAAAGCAAATATAAATTCTCTTTAGAATATCTAAAATCACCGTCAAATGCAGCCTCAGAGCCACTCGGAAAAACACCACCAGATGGAATGTAGTTCTCCATCTCACTACGAATAAGCACACGGACAATCTCAAATGAGAGTGACTCTTCCCACCCCCAACTACTGAGCAACAATAGATATCAGAGGTGGGATAGGAAAGAGCTGATTGGCTTCTATGCTAGAAACAATAATCCTGGAATTCATGCCATATATCAGCTTGCCAAACAGTCGTAGTGCAGAGAAACCTGTTAGTGAAAGATTTGTGGAGAAAAAATGATAATATTATCTGAATGAGATGCTTATATACAGTACCAGGAGAGAGAGCACACTGATGTAAGTGGAGAATATCATGTGACAGATATTGCCAAGGGCAATTAAGTGGGGAATAAAAACTGGAACAAGTGAAAAAATTCAGACCAATGCTCAGATGGGCAAAGGAAGGAAACCCTAACAGTTGAGTAATAGCTGTAGTGTGAGAGGAGGTGAGTATATTTTGGAATTAAGATTACATGAAAAAATTTAGAAATTTTTTATAAGTGTAAAACTAAGGGGGTTATACCCTACAGTGATGTACCTTGAAAAATATTAATTACTATCACCAAGTTCCTGAATATAACTTACAGAAGAAACTAGTAAGAAATTTAAAAAGTAAGCTATAAAAATTTATTGTCTCCTAGGAAAAAAAACTTAAATAGAATTAAGTGGCCTATGGTCTGCAAAAAGCTAAAAACACAGTCAAGCTGGACAGTGTCACCATTGCCAATGACACTGTCCAAAGTCAGGGGTAAATCCTAAGAAAAAAAAACATACCTAGAATGGTACCACCATTTGCACTTATAATGATGGCATGAAAGCAACTGTGACTTCGGTGTTACAGAGGCCTCACATTGGCAGATCAACCCCACATAAAAAGATGGGTTAAAAAACTGTGACCAATGCATAGCCTAGCCAAGAGAACTTCCTCCCTTCGATCCTTATGTAAACTAGATGGCCAAACAACAACAGTAGGTTTGATCTGGAAAAGTTTGTTATGGAGTTGCTCATCCCAAATCAACTGCTAACTGGTGCGAAGCTGGGCCTTGATTACTGGACCATAGTCCACATATGGGACAGGTACACACCAGAGAAGACAGACTTAGTTGCAGCATCAGCCAGCTTGTTCCTGTGAATACCAACATGGCTAGGTATCCAGAAAAACTTGATTGAAACAGAAGACAGTGAAAAGTGGGCCAGTCATTTCTGAATATCGACGAGAACAGGGTGAGAACTTACGTTAAGCGATTCCAAGGCCAATACAGAACTTGGAGAGTCAGTGTAAATAGTACAGTCAGTGTACTGCTTAGCTTCTATGTGATCTAAAGCAAGAGAAATGGGACATAACTCGGAAGTAAACACAGAAACTGTAGAGGGGATTCTGTGAGCAACCACTGAGCCACAACAAACCATGGCAGAGCCAACAAAGTCACCTCATTTAGAACCATTCAAAAAAATGGGAACAGAAAGATGTTCAGTAAAGAGAAGACAGTACTTCCAATCAGCAATATCTGCCTTTCTCAGGTGACAGAAAGAGAGATCACAAGTGGGGATGGTAATGAGCCATGGTGGGATGAGCTGATCATTGGACTCAGCAATGGCATCCAATGACAGACTCAATTCAGCCAGCTGTGCCTAGATATGAAGGCCAAAAGAAGGAATGGCAGACCATCTATTCTGAAAGACCATAGCCCACTAAGGAAGGAAGACACAATCATGGGTGGAATGCAGTGGTAAGGATCGGAGCTTGGTAGCATATTGCAAAGAAAGTTGCAAACGGTGGAGGTGAAGAGGAGGTTCATAGGACTCAGTGTACAGACTCCGGGCTGGCAAAGTGCAGAAAGCCCCCATGCAGAGCCGAGGCCACAAATGGTGGACAGTGTCCAGCATCTTCAAGGCAGAGGACCTGGCAGTACCATAAACCAATGACCCATAATCCAGCTTGGAATGTATGAGGGCACAATAGATCTTCAACATTAAACATCAATCCACTCTCCAAGAGGTGGAAGAGAGAACACAAAAGATATTCAGTGCCCTTGTACACTTGACACGAAGCTGGTTGTTGTGAGAAATGAAAGTAAATTTATGGTGAAAGATAAGCCCAAGAACTTTGTATCAGGAACCAGGGTAAAAACAT